TTTGATGCAGAAATATTCCTCGGGCATCTAGATGTATTTCTGCATCGAAAAGAAAATTTTGAAAAAAAATGCGCTTACGTTATTTTGGCGGTTAGGGCTCGATATGTACATATAAATTTGAAAGTTATAAACTATTTCACTGTTTAACAAAATATATTACTCAACATTCCATTTAATTAGGTTTCAAATATCATTCGACATAAGTCATTTGTTACATCACTCAAAAGCAATTAATGAGTTAGCCACCAGCAAATAAACACCACATTCTCCTTAAATAAGCACAAATCACTGCGGGCATATAATAATATATGTACTCAAATTAACCAAACTTTTCGATAGAAAATCCAAGCAGCTCAAATATACATATTTCCGCTCCATGAAAGGAAAATAACTGAAATTAATTCTCAGTAATCGAAACTACCTGCCCCTCAAACCTAAAATATAAGCAATCTAATACTATTAAGCAGTGTTAAATAAATAATCGAGTGATAAATAGACGACACTTCCGGTGTGAACGACTTAATTAGCTGGACAGTAGTCGACAAGCTGACAGACCAGTTACCACCAGTTACAATGGCAACAAGAAAAAAAACAATCAAAATAAATAAACAACAACACAAATTGGAAACCCATAGCAACAAGTAAAGATGTCTTCTAAGTTCGGGCGAAACCGAACTGTATATGTATACCCGGCGCACTTACGAAATAATTTTTCTCAGCTTTTCTGAAAGCTAGCTTTACATGATAAGCAATAATAGGCTCAGTTAGGCTTAATGAAATAATTGAACCAAGTTTGGTAAGAATCGCTCGGTTCCCATTCCCCAAATATCTACATATATTTATCTTAGTAACTGTTAAGAGATTGTGGTAAGTATTTACTTTCTGGGAAGGGGGCGTAATTTTAGTTCGATCTCAAATTTGTTTAACATATTACCTTATCGTAAATCGGTTACGCAATTTGTTGTAAATGGGCGGTACCAGTCCCATTTTTCAAACTGGTAGTCCATTCCAGAAAAAGTTTCTGAAAAAAGTTACGTATTTTTGGCCGCAGAATCGGAATTAATGACAAAAATATGTGTGTCCCATTTAAAGGGACTTCGATCTGTTTAATCCACATCCGGTCGAAACTGGGAGTCGGTAATACGACCAAAAAATAGAGCATCACCGACTTGGAAATTCATGTTTTTGCGTTGTCCAATCAAAAACATTTCCCTCCGTTTTAGAAGTCCAAGACTGATGGAAGTTCGTAGGTCATTTACAGGTTGAAAATGGCTAAGAGTTGAAAATGTTAAAGAGTTTTAAGCAAACCGCGTATTTCAATTTAAAAAAAAATCCTCCATTTTAGAAGGGATGGACGTGTGATCTAGGTAACCAGGTACATATTTCTTTATCGATCTCGATTCGTTTAAGCTGTTACAAACAACCGCTATGAGAACAAAGTTAATACGCCCTTCTGCACAAGTGCGCGCGGGTATGAAATTCAGTTTAGGAGCATCTAAAAGTAAGCAAAAACATCTCAAACTTTCACACTTGCTTTCATTTTCACTTTCACCTTCACAAACTTATTGCAATTCCTTGAAGTTATATTGCATACGCCTAAAAGCAGATAACCAGCGGGTGTTGTCGCCGCAGTTCTGCGAAATTTTGTTTGTCGCTTACAGAAGAATTTGTTGTTTATTAAAAGCGATCGCAATCAAGCTGTGCCAATAAGGACACAAGCGAGAGACACAAAAAAGTTTTCCGTTTAAGATTGCATACTTTTAGGAGGCGCGCGGCAATGACAAATAGGTTAGGTTAGGTTACACTGGCCGGCTGTTGCGCCTTACATAGACCCGTTGGTCCTTTGTAGTGCCAGATGGAGGTCCGTTTTACTGCGGTCTAAAGTAGTCGTCGTATAGGACGTCAACGCTTTTTGCGAAGTTCAAGAGTGCCTTAATATCCAGTTTTGAAACCTCCTCTAGTCCTTTAAACTGCGAAGCTCCGAGATAACTAAGACGATTTCTAGCTAAGGCCGGACAGAAACAGAGGAGGTGTTCCAACGTCTCACTCATGCCTTCCTCCCTGCACTTCCTGCATGCGTCACTGTTACTAATGCCCATTCTGCTTGCGTGGGATGCCAGTAGGTTGTGGCCCGTCATTAGGCCGACAACTGTCCTGCACTCCCTACGTGACCGTGTAAGCAAGAAATGGGTGTTTCCTTTGCTGCTATTGCACATGATCTTGGAGGTTTTGCATGTCGCTAATGCGTTCCATCTCCCCCTGATCCGGCACCCAGCTCTTTCGGAAATTTCATTGTAGATCGTTTTTAGCGACTTTTGTATTTCCCGTACTGGTTCGCTAGCAAGACGGATGGCACCTTTGGCAATCTCATCAGCTATTTCGTTCCCTAAAAATGCCCTTGTGGCCTGGAACCCAGTATATATGCAGCCGTTTACTCTCGGCCGCCCTGTCTACTGCTTCCCTGCTTCTAAGGACATTTTCTGACGCAATACGATGTGAGATTATGGCCTTAATCGCCGCCTGGCTATCGACATATATATTGATATTTTTTATATAATTTCCTGCGTTGCTAGCTATTTCAGCAGCTTTCCCTACAGCGAAGACTTCCGCCTGGAAAATACTGCAGTACTCTGGAAGCTTGAAGGGTTGCCTGAGGTCTAGCTCGGCGCAATAGACTCCGGCGCCCACTCCATCAGCAATTTTTGATCCATCCGTGTAGATGTTATACGTTACGCCGGCGGGTCGCGTGCTCATGCGCCATCCGCCCTCCTTAACCGTAGCTTTAAACCTTCTTCCCCAGATGAAGCGTGGGGGTATGTGGTCTATTTTGTCCTCCATCCCCCTGCCTATCGAGCTGTGCCCGAAGGTTCTTGCGGAGAATTCACCTAAGGCCATCAATCTCGTGGCGGATTTCGCTGCAGTGCTCTCCACCGCGATGTCGATTGGTGGTAGGCCAAGTAGCCTTTCAAGTGCCGCCGTTGGAGTGGTCCTTAGCGCTCCTGTTATGCACAGTGCAGCGAGCCGCTGTAATCGCTCCAATGGTTTTCTATACGAAATTTTGTTTGCAGCGGTCCACCATACCAGAGCACCGTAGAGCAATATGGGCTTAACTACCGCTGTGTAACACCAATGCATGAGGCCAGGGGATAGGCCCCATGTGGTGCCCAGCATCTTTTTACATGCGTAAAGGGCACCACTGGCCTTTTTCACCCTTTCCTCCACATTTAGCTTCCACATCAGTTTGCTGTCCAAAATTACTCCCAGGTACTTGGTGTGATCCTTGATTGATAGCTCCGCCCCGTTGAGCCTCGGGGGTTTCCACGCGGGGATTTTGTACCTTCTTGTGAACAGTACCGCATCCGTTTTGTCAGCATTTACCTCTAAGTTGACTGTTGTCGCCCATCGATGTACGACCCTTAGAGCGCTTTCCATTACGTTACTGATGGTGTCTAGGAATTTCCCCGTAACAACTATAGCTATGTCGTCCGCATAGGCAATTAGTCTGGGTGCTTTCCCTTCGAATTTTCCCAGAAGCTCATTCGCTACGAGTAGCCACAGGAGTGGTGACAGAACACCACCCTGAGGAGTTCCTCTATGCGCTAGTCTGAGCAACCTGGCTTCGTTCCACTCCGCCTTAATTTTCCTGCAGCTCAGCAGGCTTTTTATCCATAGTAGGATGGCAGACTCTACCTGGGCTGCTTCTAGGCTTTCCATTATTGCCTCATAGGAGACATTATTAAATGCCCCGCTTATGTCCAGAAAGACCCCTAGGGCATATTCTTTATGCTCCAGAGCTTTTTCTATTACCGCGGTTAGTGAGTGAAGTGCAGTCTCAGTGGATCTACCCTTCGTGTAGGCATGCTGCGCCTTTGATATGCTGGCCGACGGCAGCTTATCCCTAATGTAGGCGTCCAGAATCTTTTCGAGCGTCTTTAGAAGGAATGAAGTTAGACTAATTGGTCTGTATTCTTTCGAATAGAGGGGATTTCCCTTGCCCGCCTTCGGTATGAATACGACCCTCGCCTCTCTCCAAAGGACAGGCACATAGTTTAGTCTTAAACATCCCTCGTATATTGTTTTCAAGTATGGTGTCAGCACTGCGGAAATTTTTTGCATCATGGCTGGAAAGATACCGTCTGTGCCTGGGGACTTAAACGGCCCGAAGCCATCGATTGCCCACCGTATTTTTTCTTCCGTTATGATGTCCGGGGGGACATTTTCCACGCTATCTCCTAGAAGTTGCAGATCTATGCTGTCTGTACACCCCGGAAAGTGTGTGTTGACTAGGTCTTCCAGTGAGTCCTCACTGCTTCCAGTCCACTCTCCACATTTTTTACGTAGTAACCTTGGATTAGTCGGGTTCTTGGATAGCAATTTCCTTAGCCTGGCTACCTCGGTTGTTTTTTCTAATTCGCCGCAGAAGCTCTTCCACGACTCCCGCTTGCATTTACGAATCTCTTTCTTGTATTCCTTAAGTACTTCCTTGTATTCCATCCAGCAGAACTCGTCATCGGCTACCTTGGCCAGTTTGAAGAGTTCCCTAACATTTTTCCTGAGTGCTCCGAGCCCCCTGTTCCACCAAGGTGGCTTTGAACCTCGCTTGGCATGTAGCGGAGGGCATGCGATGCAATAAGCTTTATTTAGAGTGTTGGTAAGTGAGACTACCAGTTCCTCCAATTCAGAGTGGGAGTCACTTACCCTATGCTTGGTTAAATTCTTCCTCACTACCCTTTCATACAATTCCCAGTTTGTATTCCTGTGATTTCTGAAGGTTTCGCTTTTTGTACGGGCTGAGAATTTTACCTGAAATCCTACATACCTATGGTCAGAGAACGAGGGTGTACTAAGCACCTCCCAATTCTGTACTCCGATTCCCCCACTAGTGTGGAGTGTTATGTCAAGGACGTTCTTCGAGGTAGGGCCAATATAAGTTGGTTCCTCACCCCGGTTAGCTATATCTAAATTACTTATTAATATAAAGTTTAGTAAAGACTCACCCCTTTCGTTGGTATCTCCACTCCCCCATACTGTGTTGTGCGCATTGGCATCCGCGCCTATGATGAGTGGGCGTTTCGCCTTCTCGGCCTCTCCCACCAACCTCCGGAGCTCGTTTGGTGGCGCCTCCTCGTCGTGAGGCATGTAACAAGATGCAAGGAGTATTGTATCATCCTTGCCATCCTTCACAGCTACCACCGTCAGATCATCTGAAGAGAAATTAAGATCAATATAAGAGTGTATACTTTTCTTTACCAGTATAGCTGTTCTTACCCTGTTTGTTGCACTCGGGATGTGCGTATAGTAAGTTTGCGACTTTAGTCCAGCTACCACGTTTCCCGACGCTATCCATGGCTCCTGGACTAACGCCGCATCGTAGCCGATCCTCTCTAAATTGAGGAGGAGCTCGGCAGAGGCGACCTTGCTTTTATGCAGATTTATTTGAAGAACCTTCACTGCAAGGATCAGGATTCTTTTCGGGGTCGGGTAGAATCTCCGGATCGCCCTTCTCGGTCTCCTGGAGCTTCAAGGTGGCCTCCAGGATCTCTCCCAGATCCTTCTCGACCTCTCGCTCCTCCAGCGTGTTGGCATTGTTATCGGCCAGGCTTCGCTTCTTCAGGCGAAGGTATACGCTACCTATGCCCCACGCCATCTTCCCGAACCTAGCGTATAGTATGTCTTCGGCCGGCTTGTTGATTTGGAGGATGTAATTTTGGCTGCCATCCTCCTTACAGGAGTTGGTGACCTTTAACACCCTCCAATCTCCCGTCGGCACGTCTGGGTTCTGTCTCTGCAGAAGCCGCAGCGCATTCTCCGGTTTTACCGTGCGGGGTATGAGCACCTTCGCTTTCGGTATGGATGGTATGCAGCTGCGGTCCACAACCTCCAAGACGGCGCCCTCCCACAGGCCTTGAAGCGTCGCAACAGCTTCCTTTACCCATAGTAGAGAGGGATCGTCCTTGCATTTTATTATTTTCACCCCATTTAGCCACCCCGCACCATCGAAAGTTGGCATGGTCGTGGTGGGGTCCCCATCCATTTTTGCGACAAGCGCATCCAGCAGCTTATGTTCTACTGCTCCCCAGTGCTCCTGAGAGATTTGTCCCAGCGGATTGCTCCGGTCTATGAGTGCCACGATAAGGTGTCTTCTGGCTACCTCACTGGCCATTGCCGCCGCTCTCGATGTAGTCGGTCTCTCTAGATCGAGCCTGACGTTTGGCTTTGCAGCGTCGTCTCTGCGCCTCGATTTTTTGGCAATGACAAATAACAAACACATAAAAAGTGTGCAAATGAATTTCCGATTTAAATAAATTGGAAATTGAACTGTTTTATATTACTTAGGTTTTTTTTTAGATTTTAGCATAAAAGTGCAAGAAACGCGGCTCCTACGCCTTTAGGTATGCAGTGCCGTCCTTTAATTAGCGACAGCGCCACTGATTAGGGGCTGTTTCATATTTTTTCGCATAATTTGGCTGATCTGTTCTCTCTTGCATTATTTAATTTATTGGTTTATTATTATGGCTCAGTTATCATTCGCTTCGGTCTTGCGGTTGGCATCAGCTAATTTGTAGCTTGACTGCTAAAGTCTAAAGTGGCAAAACTTGGCATCTGCTTTGCTGAGGTAATTTAAGAAAGGAACCGTGCCGTGAAGCTGCTGCAGAGAAGTGAGTATCATTCCAAGCCAACCTGTAGCCAATTCAGACCCGTTCGACTATTGAGCGGTACCGGCAAAAAGGGATGTATTTTTAAGACGAAGTAAAGAGGGGACAGAAGGGCTGACGACTGCTCGATAATTGCGTCTGGGAAGCGAATTGATGACCTCTGCTCAAAAGTAAATGGCCATGTCTCTAGCCTTTCTCGCTTCTTGAATGTAAGGAGCTTAACACTCTCCCCAACGAAATCAACGGTGACCCTCCTCACCACCTGGACGAAGAGGGCCAGGCTTCAATTAAGCATCCACGACGACGGCACACCAATACCGACGGTGAACAACACAAAAATGTTAAGGGTCACCTTTGATAGCCTGCTGTCCTTCTCCGCGCACACAACTGCAGTTGTCAACAAAGTACAGAGGCGCAACAAGGTCCTCAAGTCGCTTGTCAGCAGCACCTGTGCCAAAGACAAAGAAACGTTGCTGGCAACATACAAGGCAATTGGCTGGCCGGTTCTAAACTATGCTGCGCCAGTTTAGTCGCCGGGGACTGGTGGGGCGTAGTGGACGGAGCTACAGACTTGTCAGAACGCCGCACTCCGGACAGCGACAGGGTGCCTTCTGATGTCGCCTGAGCACCACCTACACTGCGAGGCCCAAATGCTTCCCATAAGGGAGCACCACAAAATGTTCTGCAAGCAGTTTATGGTGGAGGGCCTTAGAAGTGAATACCCTGACAGACCCCTGCTAGAGGAGGAACCACTGGACCCGACGACGTACCGACGAGCGATCAACGGCATTCATAGGGAGATCAATTAGCTCCTGTTGCTGCAGCGGGGCTTCAACTGCCAAGAGAGACGCGCATTACCCTGGCCCAGTTACGGTGTGCATACTGTAGCCTGCCTCAACAGCTACCTCTTCAGACTCGACCCCAGTATCCCCAAAGAGTGTCCGGCATGTGGAGACTCCCCGCACGTCACCAACCACCTCTTCATATGCCAGCTCAATCCCACTTAACTAACCTTTGGTCCGGGCCTATTGAAACTGCCCGTTTCCGAGGCCTACCGTTAGTTGAGCTTGATGATCTAAGGATGAACTAAAATTGACGGACTTAGTAGTGCCGCTACAACAACAGGCTTGACGTGGAAATAGGGTCCATAAATACGAACTCGAATATTGTATTTTTATCTATTATTACTTTTTTTATAAGACTTCGCCTTGCCCCTATCTGGCTATGTCCTCGCTTTTGCCCTCCAGCAGATGTGAAATATTCTAGGATGAATTGTCTAGGCAGGGCGATGTTTGCTGTTTTTCACTTTAATTGCTCCCTATCACTAATCGGCGAGAGCACCTTGAGGGTTACCGAAGGTCACCTCGAAGTAGGGGCATTCGTGTTTTTTGATAAGTTACTTCGAGCAGCTCCCACAACCGTCTCCGGCACTTACCGTTACAAATGCGTAAAGGGCCATATATGTATGTGTCTTCCATAGAATATTTCTTTCGAGCACTCCAAGGGTGGCATAATGCGATGCGTGCAAAGTGTGATTTTCGTTCATCGAGAGAGAACTTTATTTCGTAATTGCCTACTCAGTCCAAGGCAGCATTTGCTGGCAAGGGAATTCTCTTCTAGAGTTTACTAAAGAGTAATTAAGCAGATGAGGCCTAAGGGAATTGTAGCAGCGTATCGTTGTCTGTGTTTAGGATGCCTTCACCATATCTTCGAATCATACCAGCGTTTTACTATTTTGTGGTTCTAGAATTTTTGGAGTTCATTTCCGATACATTTACTGTCAATATTTTGCTCCCTTTTGATCCCACGAATGTGACCAGAAAGGATTTCGGGACCGCAGTAAAGCTAGTAAGCCGGAATGAGGCTTTTATTCCAACCAAGACGCAATGACGGTCACGGAAGTAGTGTCTAATGTCGGTGCAACACTTAAGCCCCACTCCCCAACGAGAAGGAACCGACAAATAGGAATTTTCTGTATAATGGTCACCTGTATTTACATATTTTTTATTAATCAACTTCCAACTGTCTTCCGCAAAATCGGGCACCAAACCAGCATGAAATTGCGCAACTACTTAGACACTATCAATAAATAAGCAACATAAAAGACACACAGGAACTGTGTATATACAAAATTATAATCCTCTGAAAATTGCTCTCATTTTCTACAAAAAATTTCAAATTTTTCATAAAAGATAAGAAATACACATTTATCTGCAAGTTGAAGGCCAGCAGGCAAGCTACCAGCGTACAGTACAGGTATGTATGTACCTCTAAGTAGCCACAAAGGACATTGTGGGACGTTTGATTTGCCTTTGCCCTCCCGTTGTTGATGCCACCAATGTGTTATGCTTTGCGGTTGGTACTCGTGTCTTCAACGACAAAAGCAGGTACATACATACATACATACATACGTGTGTAGTAATTTGTGACCATAATAGTATATGACACATGAGGCAAATAATTTGACACAACGAAAACAAAAGCAACATCCACAGCTAGAACTTTGCCAACAAGATTTCGTACGAGCAGCAGAAGGACTTTCAAAGTAACAGTCAAGTGCTTGACAGGATGCAAGAATGAACAAGTGCTGTACAAATTGCATAGCAACAGGAATCGGAGCGCAACAAGGTACAGCAGCACAAAGCGATCCATTCACCAAGTGGACATGACCACATAACAGCTTTGTATGTGCATATGTATGTTTGTATATTTATATAGAGTAAATTGTTGGTTACTCTATCATTGCATGTTTGCTGGCACCACTACGGCCAGCCAGTAGAGCCATCAAGTAATAGGAGTTGCTGTCATGCGTTGACGACGTCTGGTGTCCACTCCTCTCGTCCACATGTCTGAGTGTGATGTGTAAACATAAGCGGACAGAAATGTATATATTGCTTCTGGCCGATGAGGACCATGTTGGCGGTCAGTCCAGTGTGTAACTTGAAGCTGTTAATTTTCAAGCATTCAAGGCTTTAGTTACCGCTTCTGCCTTAGTTTTTATGTTGTGGATTTTGTATTCGTCGAAATAAATACTTATTTTATTTGCAAAAAATTTCTATATTTCTTATTTGTTGTATACGTTCTTAATGTTGTTATTTTTAAATGCGATTACACCCAAATACATACACGAAATTGCATTTGTCTGTGCTGACATTACTTAACCAGAAATTTGGGCTTCTGCTCAAAAGTGGGTTCTTCAAAAAGTAGTCCAATTAAAAAAATATTAACTACTTAAAAGCACATAAGTACTTCACAAAAGAAAGCTATCTGAGGTCTTCCAAGTTCTCATCGGGGTTCGACTAGTTGGCCATCAAGCCACTCTGCGATTGCGGACTTCGGTGGTCCATGTCCAGTTCACTACATCACATTGACTACGCTGACGACATATGTATGCCTTTTGGCGTACTGTCTTACTGATCTATCTGAAATGAGCAGCATGCTCACAGGTGGAAGGCCTGCGAATAATAAATGAGCCCTAAGTTCTAAGTATGGCAGCGAAGTATTGTGGTGACGTATTAGTATCCGGCCAAACTCTTGATACTGTGTGGAATTTTACATACCTGGCAGCAAAGTTGCCTCCGGTGGCAGTTCCACCTGGAAAGTCACTACTGCAGTAATCAGACGCCTGCAAGGCTTCGTAAGGAGATACCTTAGAGTAATAATCCAAGCTCCGAAGAAAGAAATGGAAGTAGATGGGCCACACTTTGTACAAAGAAAAAGGCAGTATTGACAAGATGGCCTTGGAATCCCCTAATCGGCATAGGCAGGCCTCCCGGTAGACCGCGGAAACGTCTAGGATAACAGTCGTTCGTTAAAAAAAAGAGAGCACATATGTTGGGTTTAGAATTAAAACAGTTCGGTTTAAGTTTTAAACCCAAACATTTTCATAATAAAGAATAAAAAAAAAATCTCAAATTTCATGCTCCGTCTGATGGGGATTGAACCCGGACAGCCTTGGTAGCAACCAATTGTGTCAAACATCTTTGCACACTCAGCTACAGCCATGCATATAAATGTGCTTTCATATGTTGAGTTTGAATCAACACCACATTTCGCTGTGCGCAAACACTTTTTATTTCGGTTTAGATTTTAAATAAATTTTCCATATATGTAACCTAGGAACTAGAATTAAAACATTTTGGTTTGATTTTTAAACCACGAACTTTTTGGACTAAAATTTTAACCAGAATATATTAAAAATTGCTTAAAACTATTGACTGGTTTAAAAAGTAGACTATAAAAGATTAAAAAAGCAGTAGTCCCAGCGCGGTTTAAAAATTAAGCCCAAATTTTTTACCGTGTATATTGCCGCGAACGCCGTTGTCATCGGAAAACAACTTATTCCTGCAGATCTATTGACACATGTATTTTACTATTCTCATTTTCGCATACTACTATAAACCACTTACTTTTAGTGGGTAAATTACTCGATCAACTACGATTTAATAATTCGCGAGAAAAAGCAACCAGCTCGTTGTAATCCTTTTCCGGAAGTGTCCGGCCATCTTTATTTTATTTGACATCAGGATTGCCAACATCTAAATTATTACATAATATATTACAGGGTTGCCACGATATTATACTA